GTGCACTTTCCACTCTCTCCTCTCTGCGGGGACAAGACAGGTTTTTTAGAACCGTCCCCCTGCCTCTAGGAAGAGTGGGATTTAACCTTCCAGGCAGAAAGATGCCTCCCCCAGCCTTCCGCATGTTCAAAGAGAGTTCTTAGTCATCTCTGAGTAATATAGTACACCAGGGAGTTTCCCCCATTGTCAAGCCTGAATCCCCACCGTGACCGTTTAGGCCCTTTTCCTAATACAGCTTCACTGAGCACTGGTTCCCTGTGGTGTTTATAGAGCCTTGGCCTTCTTTGCAAGGGGGCAGAATCTGCAGTGAATGGAATCCACGGAAAGTGACATGTTTTTCCCCAGTGAAGTAGAAATCGGTGAATAATAATTTTGGTAGTTGCTGAGAATTCCGGATCCCAACAAATTCCATTGAAATGGAGGAACTCCCTCGGGATCCAGTGATAATGTTTACATATAATTAGTTTGCTGAGGAGTCTCATCTTGTTGGGGTTTATACCTACATAAAATGGTTTTATTTTCTCTACTCACTGCGCTCAACTGTATTGTGTTGAATCTTACTTTCCTGCTGGGAAGCTAGTTTCTTAGCAACGACTAATTTCCTGTCATTTTCAATTATTAGTACAGTCTCATTTGGGTATTTAAGATCTAGTCCCGTTCACTTAAAAAAAGATTAATATCAAACTTGATTCAATGTGTACCCTCTCCCCCCTGTTATTTGTAGTGTGTGCATGTGCGCTCTCTGCTTCTGAGACGCTGTATTTTTTTCCTCCAAGACCTAGTTCCTCTGGAGTTGGGGCTAAGAGGAGGGAGCAGGGAAGTTGAGGGCTTTTTACAGGATTGTTAGATTGTCATAGGTGGGCAGGCCTCAGGCCACTTACCTGGTTCAGACAGATTCTATCTGATGGGGTGCTCTCTGTTGAAATGGTCTCTGCACAGTGTTGTGTGTAGTTTTCTTGAGGCAAGACCATTCTCTGCACCCCACCCCTGCAGATATGCGCCCCGCCTCCCCTTGACCATGTCAGTGGTCACACCACCAGCCTCTTCTCCAGGGTGGGCACCCCACAGCAGGGCGCTCCTCACACACCTGCCTTTCAGTGCTTCACCACCAGGGGTGATGGGAACCTCTGGCCATTCGTCTGCTGCCTGAGCACTGAGCAGGCTGGAGGGGAGGGCCCCCCCATCTTCCTCCCAGGCACACCACGTTGGATCCATGGAAATCTCTAGATTTCGGTGGGCATTGGGCTCCACAACTACATGAACCTCAAATTTGAGATGACACATGGCAAGGATCCCTCCTCCTCCTGGCAGCGTGTCATACTCCTAGGCTCCAGACACCCTCCCAGGCCTGTCTCTCTACTATTTTTCTCTGCTGGCAGCACCAGGGACCACCTGTGCTCCTGCTGCTCAGCGGAGGTCCAGTTGGGAAATGTGATGCCAGACGCCACTTCTCCGGGGCATCCACAGTCCTTGTAAATGATTCTCGTGGTGAAGCCTGCCTGCCTCACTCAGGGAGGGGGAAAGAATTTGCCCTTTCCCTCAGCCCCTGGCCTCCCCACAATCCTACGCATCCCTTCTTCCCTGTTAGACTGGTGGTGGGGGGTGTCTGGGGTGAGCAGGGTAGTCCGAGTGTACTTGGTTGGTGGTAGGGACATTTCTGCTGCTGCTTAACAAGCCCTGCAGGGAGACGGTTGGCTCCAGCTGCTGGGAGCTTCCTCTAGAATGTGGAAATGTGCTGAAATATATGCATTATAATGTTTATCCACAAATAGATCATAATGATACGTGAGTATATATCCTAGACCCTAAAAAGACCAGGACACCGCTCTGTCATCTTTTTCACATGCAATTCACAAGACCCCATGAATCCAAAGTACAAAGAAGTGCAATATATTTTGATTTTCCCCAAGACTACAATTTTTATGTTTCTAAATGTCAAATTTCAAAGTTTAGAAAAAAATACATGGGTGACTCCTGCATTGCTTGTTCCCTAAGCACAAGTTTATTCTGCTAGGGAACCCAGAACTACATCCCAGTCTTACTAAGAAGATTAGTGAGTGAACAAATATGAAAGTATCTACAAAATTATGCCATCTACAAATATATGCCAGCATCATGATTACATATAATTATATATGAGATTTTTATATACGAACACATATACCCATAAACCTTGTTTTAATTTGGTATGTGAAAATAAGTTGGTGTCTGGAATACATTTAAAAAAATTTCACTGGTATGTAGTCTTAATTGATATCAATTAAGATTATAGCCGGCCTTGAGCCAGACTGACTGGATATTCAATCTGGCACTATGATTATAAGCAAATAGCGTGATCTCCCTGAGTCTCAATTTCCTCATCTGTAAATAAAGATAATAATGTGTCTGCCTCATGGAGTTGTTGTGAAAATCAAGTGGGTTAATTCATATAAAAACACTTAACCTTAAAAAAGTGTTTGGCACCATATCAGCCCTCAAAGATGAGTTATGATTATATACCTGCATTAACTACAAACAAAAATGGGAAATTTCTTTTTTTCCCCTTTGTATTTTGGATGTTTTAAATAGACATTAAAGGGATAAAACGAGCATTTATTTTGTGCTGAAGCTGATTTTTAAACATTTCTCTTAAAGATGACCTGGGTGTGGGGGTTAGAGCAGTGTGAGAAATCTCTTGATATGATCGTAGCCAGATTTACCTGCGATTGATCAGGGCAGCAGTGCTTTTCTGCATCAGCCATTCACTCAAAAGAGCAGGCTAGTTAGTTACTCAGGCGGCACGAGCAAGAGGAAACAAATGAGAATATACATGACCATCTGTATTACCAAGACTGCGACACGAGACATTCATTACTGAGTAACAGATCTGTGCGTCTGGTTCTTTCTTTCTACCCAGACTCACACTTGTTTCCCTGCTGCTCCCTGTTGGCTCTGTCCAGCTCCCCTTTGCAAGGCTGCACGTTTGCAGACGGGCATCAAAGGGAAAAGTCTGACCTAACGATTCTTTTCAAATGGCTTCTCAATATTTCATTTATCGTTTCAGGCTCATCGCTTTCCTACCTTCCGACTGTGCACGACCCTTATTAGCTGTATTGGCTTACCCGACAAATTGATTTTGTTGAATTTTCTGGACCGTTTATGTATTTATCTCCTACGTCCTTTCTGTTTTTATCTGTGCATTTCAAGCTTTCATTCTAAATCCGTCACAGACGCTAAGTCTCAGCAGTCTTGATCTTCTCAGCGAATATTCATCAGGTTGTAATTTTTTTATTTGTTACCAACAGCCGAATTCAAACAATGCCGATCTTGTTCTAATTTGGTTTGTATCAGCCCTACTCTTGGTACTTAGAAAAAGCAAATGTTAATTTCTGGGCCTCTCTTGCGTATGTATTATTTCCTCATATTTCCTGTACTGCAGTTAATTAAAAAAAAAGGAGCGGTGGGAACCACATTTGGACCTGAGCTTTAATCAGAAAACATTTCGGCAGGAACACTGGAGTGTGTAGAGGGCTGGGGCAGGGGCAGCCTGCGAGCCCGCCCTGGCTGCTGTCCTCCCCATTTTACCACGGGGCCCGGGGGGGCGGGGGTGGTCCCCGCTGGTGGAAGGCGCGCAGCATCCCCGAGTGGCAGCGGCTGTGGATTACGTAGACTGCTGGGGTAGATTCCTAGTTTTCTGTGTATATATTTGCACCTCTATAGGTTGTGTGTGTATATTTGCTTGACTGCAGACACAGGGTTTCTGATGAGTGGCCAAGGTAGGCAGATGGGAGTGCTGCAGGTGGCTGTTGAGCATGTCATGAGAGGTTTCCTCAAGCCCTACTTTCCTTCCAAATAGGTATTTTAATCAGAGGCTAAATTCAGATTCTTGCCCCTCAAGCATTAGTTTGCAAAAGCTCGTGTTCGTGTTCCCCTCCATCACCCGGTCCCAGGTTGCATTCGGAGCTGTGCTCCCTGCTCATGGCTGCTGGCTGCTGTTAGAAGAGCATTTCTTTCTCTTCTTTCTCTCTGGGAACTTGCAGATCATAACTGGCAACAAGGCTCAGCTTAAGTTGTGCCTCCTCTAGGAAGCTCTCCCTGACCACTCGAGTCCAGGGCCATCTCTCAGTGGTCTGACCCAGGCATCAGCACATACTGCTTATGGGCCATATTTAGCCCACTGCCTGTTTCTGTAAAGAAAGTTTTGTTAGAACATATAGCCATGTTCCTGAAACTAATATAAAATAATATTGAATGTAAACTGTAATTAAAAAATAAAATTAAAAAAATACGGAGAAGAAAACATATAACTGCATTCATTTGTTTATGTACTGTCTATGGCTGCCCTCAAGACCCAATGGTAGACCTGAACAATTGTGACAGAGACTATATGGCTCACGAGCCTAAAATACTTACTTTCTGGTCCTTTACAGGAAAAGTTTCCTGACCCCTCTCCTCAACTGAGGGGCTTAATGTGCACACCTCTCAGCATCATGTGTTATAAATGCTCCTGTTTTGTGTTTTGCAAGAACTCTCAGTTTTAAATTTAGCATAATCTTTTAGTATTTCCCAGATATTTTGCTTACCGAGCAAATAATCTTAAAATTACACTTGGAGATTGGGGTGAGTTCCCTACAAGGGACAAAGAGAACCCACAGGCAATTTTATTTTCAAGAGACAACATTCATTTGTTATTGTTGTCAGGTGGTTGCTGATAAGGCTCTCAGAGCACAGCTTTGTACTGAAACCATTCCTTCCAACGCAGAACTCTTACTCGTTACTGATCTCAGTGTAAGAACATAAATCTTCTCAAATTTCCATAAGGATGTGTGAAGATGTAACTTAATCAAATCACAATTTTAGAAGGTTAGCACTTACTTTAAAAAATAATGCTAATGGGATCCTCTTAGCCACTCAGGAGTCCCACTTGGTAAGAATCTGACTTGAAATAGGTGTGAAGGTGAGCATACGCTTAACTCAGTGACCCGCAGCTGTATTCATTCATTCGCCTTCTCTCCTCCTAGCGGCCAGCCCATCCCCAGGGTGGAGTACACGGAGGAAGAAACTAAAACTTGGGGCGTTGTATTCCGGGAGCTCTCCAAACTCTATCCCACTCACGCTTGCCGGGAGTATTTGAAAAACTTCCCTCTGCTGACTAAATACTGCGGCTACAGGGAGGACAATGTGCCTCAACTGGAAGATGTCTCCGTGTTTCTGAAAGGTAAGGCTTCACACAGGCTTACCCCTGGCCAGCATCCTTGTTTGCCTTCCAAGGACACACATGTCCTCTCTGACTCTGACCCTCCTGCCTCCCTCTTATAAGGACCCTTGTGACTATATCAGCCTGACCTGGATAATCCAGGATCGTGTCTCCATCTCAGGATCCTTAACTTATCATATCTGCAAAGTCCATTTTTGCCACATAAGGAAACATATTCACAGGCTCAGGGGATTAGGACATGGACATCTTTTGAAGGCCATTAATCAGCTTTCCCTGCTCTCCAAGTATTGCCACCTCTAGCCTTGTGACTCATTGTGAACCTGTTCTTTTCTTCTCATTTCAATGCCACCACCCAAGTTGAGGTCCCCATCATTTATAACCTTGACGCCTGTGTCTTCTCCCCTCTACTCTCCTGCCCACTGCTCCCTATAGCATTACTTTCTCCTTGGCATCTGTGCTCAGAAGTTTATCAGTGCCTCTGCTTTGTTTTTTATTAGGGTTGACAAACTTTTTTTTCTGTAAAAGGCCAGATAGTAAATATTTTAAGCTTTGTGGGCCCAGAGGCAGAATTGAAGCTATTGTATAACGATTTAAATGTGACTATTAAAGAATGTAAAAGCTATTCCTAGCTTATGGAGTGTAAAAACAAGCCACAGCTGGATTTGGACTATGTATGGGTCATAGTTTGCTGATCAAGTTCTGAACTGCTCAGCTTCAGTTCAAGGCCCTGACCCAGCTTTCCAAGTTTGTCTCCTGCTCTGACTTTGCTGCCCACAGTCCTCTGTTCCAGCTGTGGGCTCTCCACACCTTTGCTTAGGCTCTGCCCTTTGCTAGAAAAGTCAACTCGTTTTCACCTACTCAAATTCTACCTACTCTTTGAGACTCAGCAAATCCTGCCTCTCCTGTGAATCCTGATTATAACAGCCATCGTGAGCTCTGCCACTCTGATTTCATTCCAGATCGTGTGTGTATCAGGAGAGAGATGGGTGTGGCCTACAGCTGGTATGCTGAGCTCCACGCCCAGCACGACGGGACGGTGAACATCACCCACGATGCTTGTTACTGAGGGACAGAGATCGAGACTCAGCACCTATTTACACAATGCCTTTGTTATTGTTTAACTAGATTATATTTTCCCTAATAGCCCTGCCTCTGACATGTCCCTCTTTGTTTCCCACAGAGTTATGTGCATATTATATATTTACATGGGCTTGCTTGCTCATATATGAGGATTTACTGCGGTGTTTCTCAAACCCCGGTCGTTAGAAGACCATCTCCTGAGTTTTGCCATGCCTGTCTCCCAACTTAACGTTTTTATTATGAGGGGTGGTACAGTATAGCACGGATTCTGGAGGAGTCTGCATTCTGCCAGCTTCTGGCTCTCTGACCTTAGATGAGTTACCTTAACATCTCTGTGCCTCTGTGTTTTTTCTCTGCAAATGAGGATAATACTTTTATCTAGCTCACAAGGGTTGGGAGGGGAAAGTAATTGATATAACTTAAAGCCCTAACATTATTGCTTGACACACATTAAGCGTAGCAGAGTCTTAGTTATTATTACTATTATTGTTGTTATTGTTTTTGTTGTTGTTGCTGTTAGTACTAGGATATTTTTTCCATTGATTTGTAGAGAGTGAAAGGGGCAGGAGAGAGAGAGAAACATCGATGTGAGAGAGACACATAGATTGGTTGCCTCCTGCATGCACCCCAACCAAGCTGGGGATTAGACCAACAACCCAGATATGTGCCCTTGATAGGGAATCCCATGACCCTTTGGTGTGTGGCTGACCTTCTAACCACTGAGCAACACTGGCCAGGGCTGTTGTTATTATTTTTATTGCTGTTTTTCACAACCCTTGGTGAACTGGATACTGGGAGTGCAGTTTGCCTCAGTCATTGGCACATAGCAAGCACCATGTCAGTGTACATGTTTTTATCTCTTTTAATTGATTGACTTTTAAAGTACCTAATTTACTTTAAAAGAAAACTTTTTAAGCAATGGAATCCACAAATTCAAAGTTCTAGATGTGATAGATACATATTTTTTAAAATTTATATGGAAATGAAATACATACTATTAAAATAGAGTCTGTTCCTCTGTGTACCACCACTCATGTCCCACGTGTGGGATACACTGGCTTAATTGACATAAAAGAGGACACGGAGAAAATACACATCTTTTTGATATTCCATGGAGAACAATCAAAAAGGAAAACTTTGGAATGAGCATAACACTGTTTGTTAGAATGATGGGTCTGAGGAGGCCTGAGGACAGGGTTAGTTCCATGTAGACACCAGAAGCTCCAGGGGGACTTATTTTATGAGCTTAATTGGTTTTTGCCTTTATAAACCATTTCTGGCCATTCTAAGGTGCTCTCCTAATGAGGGGGAGGTTTCAGAATGGGAGCCTTTTCTATGTTGGTGTCCGAGGTAAGCGCAGTCGTCACGTTGTAAATTTTAGGGGCCTTCATGAGAAGGAAGCAGTAGGTAACCCTTACACTGAGAATGCTGATGATCCATCCACAGCCTAATTGGGTTAGCAGTATAGAGCAGTTTCACAGATTTTATTATATTCTGCTTATTTGATTCTCTCTCACTATAAACCAATAAAGCATGTAGAGCTTTCATGTCCCTCTTCAAGTTGCAGTAATTGATGTGACTGTTTTCATAATACCACATAAAACAACAATACAGAATGAAGGAGTTAGGTGGCGTTGACAATAGGAAGCTGGACTGTGAACTGATTCCGAGATGCTAGTGAAGGGAGCGAATTAGCTGTTAACCGACCACGTTCCTGAAGAATGGATTCCTATGGGGGTGGGGAGGGTTAGAAAGATACCAGGTAATATGTGGGAAGCATCACTTTAGATTTTAATCTTCTCCTGTGTATTTGAGCTCTCTTGTCCTAATTTGGCTTTTGTATTTAAATCTTTAAATATTTTTTCACCTTTCCTTCTATTTCCATAGATGTCTTGTTCCCCTGGAAACCATCATTCGGCTGTAGTTTAGTAATCAGAAGCCACAAACGTGATCACTGTTAGCAGTTCAGTTGACCCTTGAACAATGCAGGGACCCTCTGCACAGCTGAAAATCACATATAACTTTACTCTACAGTTGGCCCTTCCCCTCCCAGATTCAACCAGCCACATATAAAAAAACAGAATTTTTGATCTTTGTTTGGGAAAATGCTGCCGGGAATGTGAAAATAGTTTTTCTGATGTGCGGTTAGTTGAATCTATGAGTGTGAAACCTGTGGATACGAAGGGCCCACGGTATCTATTGAAAAAAAACACCCCATGTGTAAATGAACCCGGGCACTTCAAACTCGTGTTGTTCAAGGGTCAATTGTATATATCATTCAATTGTCAAGAGTTTTAGGACCTTGATTACTTTGTTTCTAGCACATCCTTATAAATAATAGGAAGCCCTGCTTGGGCCTGCAAGTCCTGTTGGCTTGTCATTTAGTCGGCTCTTTCTGTTGCTTCTTTAGAAAGGTCTGGCTTCACGGTGAGGCCGGTGGCTGGCTACCTGAGTCCGAGAGACTTCCTGGCGGGACTGGCCTACAGGGTGTTCCACTGCACCCAGTACATCCGGCACGGCTCGGACCCCCTCTACACCCCGGAACCGTGAGTACCCACGCCGGCAGCCTGGGCTGGGTGGAGACCACCACGCTGTGAGTGGTTAATGCGCACTTGTAGGCCTCTTTTCCTCCTGATTTCACCCTCTCCCCGGTGAGGGGCACAGCGCTCACCCAGAAAGGAAGGGTTCACTGGAAGATCAGACGTCTCAGCTGGGCACATGGGCCTCTGATAGCCTTTCTCCAGCTTGTCTCTCTGACTTCATTCCAATGCTGAACCTTCTGCAGTGGCCATGCTGTCGATGACATTGCTCCTTAAGCCATATGTAGTTTTTATAAAGCCATGGTCAACAAACAAACAAACAAACAAACAAACAAACCCACCATGGTCCAGACAGACTTAGGACAATGTTGCATTGACAGAAGCAGGGCTGCCCAGCTGGGCGTGGCTCAGCGGTTGTGCATTGACTTAGGATCTAGGAGGTCGCGGTTCTATTCCTGGTCAGGGCACATGTCTGGGTTGTGGGCTCAGTCCCCAGTACAGGAGGTGTCCGATCAATGATGACTCATCATTGATGTGTTCCTCCCCCCCCTCCCTTCCTCTCTCTGAAATCAATAAAGATATATTTTAAAAAAAGAAAGAAAGAAGCAGGACTCACACTGAAATTCCAATATTAAGGTTAATTCCTATGTTGCAGGCTCAGCTCTCATCAACTCATTTAATCCACATGGCACCCCGATNGCAGGGCTCACACTGAAATTCCAATATTAAGGTTAATTCCTATGTTGCAGGCTCAGCTCTCATCAACTCATTTAATCCACATGGCACCCCGATAGCGTAGGTGCTGTGATTATTTCCATTTTTACTGATGAGGGAATGTAGGCACGAGGGGCAAAGTAAATGTTGACATGCGTGCCCCTCGCATGAGGAGGCTCCTCACCAAAGAGGTTACACAGGCCATGGCAACACTTACTGCTAATCCCCTCCCCTTTCGTCCTCACATCACCTTCAGACTCAGGACTCTGCTGTGCTCTCCCGGCCGTCCTAGTTTTTTGGATGGTCCTCCAGCCCTACCCAACACCTCTAGAGTCCTATGAGGTTTGTGATTCTTCTTTGGCTCTGTCAGCTTTCCTCAAGGGAATTCGTCTTTGGGACTTTTATCCTGTTTCTCCTGGACAAAGGGTAGAGAGAAGCAAGTGATGATGCTGTGCTGCTGTTATGGGTGGGGGCCAGAGGGTAAGCTGTGAACCCCTTCTTCTTAATGATTTGGCCTCATGACACATGACATTGCACAGTCTTGCAATGTGAACCACCCTGGGCCCTTTTCCTGAACTTTCTGAATTTTCCACTGCCTTCAAGGTGGACACAAGGTTCATCTTCTCTGGCAAACACGCTCTTGCCATCCTGTGTGCAATCATTCCTTCCTCAGGAAGTCTGTCGTTTGCTTTCCTTATTACCCATCTGTTACATGTATTTAACCATGCTAGCTTTTAATACGTTAAACTACTTGAGTACTCTGAGTTATATTTCTTTTTGTGCTTAAAAAAAAGATGAACATTTATTGGAAGGCTACTATGTGTTTGGATTGTCTGGGAAAAAGACAAGGTCCCTGCCCTCCTAAAAGAACGGGTGTGACAAGGGTCAGCATATAAACAGATAGACCAGTGATTTTCAACCTTTTCCATCTCGTGGCACACACAAACTAATTACTAAAATTCTGTGGCACACCAAAAAAATATAGTTTTGCCAATCTGACAAAAAAAATAGGTGCAATTTTGATTCGTTCCCATGGGGCAGCTATTGTTGGGTTGGCTGTTGTCAGTTTTTTATTTGACAATCTAAAGGAAAAGAGGTCAGTGCCCCTGACTAAATAGCCAGGTTTTGCATATTTTAAAAATTCTTGTGGCGCCCAGCTGGGCATGGCTCAGCGGTTGAGCATCGACCTAGGATCCAGGCGATCAGGGTTCGATTCCCGGTCAGGGCACATGCCCGGGTTGCAGGCTCAGTCCCCAGTGTGGGGCTTGCAGGAGGCAGCCGATCAATGACTCTCTCATCATTGATATTTTTCTCTCTCTCTCCCTTTCCTTTCCTCTCTCTGAAACCAATAAAGATATATTTAAAAAAAAATTTTTTTTTAAATTCTTGTGGCGCAACAGTGTGCTGCAGCACACCTGTTAAAAATCGCTGAGATAGATAATATGGTATCATGTGCTAAAAATGCTGTGAAGACAAATCAAGCAGGTGCTGCGAAATGCTTTTTTTGGATTGAGTCATTAGGGTAGCCTCTTGGGAGGTGACATTTGAGTAGAGACCAGACTATATCAGGGGCAACATTCCAGGTGGAGAGAGAAGAGCAAAAGCAAAGACCCCGAGGCTGGGAGCTGTCACTGGGTCTCTGCCTCCTTGGGCTCCATTCAAATGAGTACATAACCCTAATCTTACTCCAATTTGTTACCCACTTGTAATAATGTGATTTATAATAAGAAATTCGCATTTGGTCTTTGTCCCCATTTCTAGTACAGAGCTTCTAAAACCTTTGAAAATTTCCTTGGTGAGAGAGAGAATGTTGTCTCTTATTTTATTAATGAGGCGCCTTTTGGAAAGCCCTGAGGTCATCAAACAAAGTGAGCTGGTTGTCAGGGGAACCAACCCTGTGATTGGAGTGTTGGAACTTTTAGTCCCACCCGCCTGGCCTCTGAGGAGTGAAGAGGGGTTGGAGTTGACTCTGTTGCCAATGGCCAATGATTTAATCAGTCATGCCTGTGTAATGAAGCCTCCATAAAAACCCCACAAGATGGTGTTCAGAGAGCTTCTGGGAAGCTCCTCACCCCACCCACATACATTGCCCCGCATGTCTCTTCAACTGGATGTTCATCTGTATCATTTATCATATTTTAAAATAATAAACCTGTGACCTAGTAAGTAAATGTTTCTCTGAGTTCTGTGAGCTGCTTTAACAAATTAATTGAACTGAGGACGGTGTCATGGAAACTTCTGGTTTATAGCCAGTCAGTCAGAAGCACAGGTAACAATCTGGACTTACGACTGGTGTCTGAGACCCAAGGCAGTGGTTGTTGGAACCACCGATCTAAAGCCTGTTGGTCTGAAGCACAGGTGATAACCTGGACTTGGGACTGGGATCTGAAGTGGGTGGGGGAGGGCAGTTTGTAAGACTGAGCCCTTAACCTGTGGAATCTGACACCATCTCTGGGTAGATAGTGTCAGAATTGAATTAAATCGTAGGACACCCAGCTGGTGCCTGAGAATTGCTCCTTGTTTGTGGGGGTGCCCCCCAATGTTGGAATTGGGTCCAGGAACCCAAAAGATCTCTGTTCTTAAGGCCACTGGGGTTATCGCTTTGCTTATGATGCTGTTTTACTTCAATAATCTTGTGATTAATGGGCTGCCATGGTCTTCACTGGGAACAGAGAGCCTTTGGAGGGTTAAGCAGTTAAGTAGCGATGATGGAGCAAGTGGGCAGAGATTGGAGCTGAGCCCAGGAAGTCCCCCTCCTCCTCTCAGGTGGGCATGAAGCTCACTGACCAGGTGGTCCCTGCAGAGTCCCTACATTGTTTTTTTAAAGCTCCTTTAAGCTTCCCTGAAAGTGTTTTTAGGGTAAACAAAGGTTACTTATAGGACTCCAGACATTTGGAAAAGAAATGCTTCTTAGAGTGGAGTGAGGGCTCTAAGGAGTGTTGTCAGAGTTGGAGAGGCAATCTCTAAATCTAGCCCAGAGGGTTTACAAACGGCCCTGTTTACAAATAGTAGGCACTTTGTTAGTTCCCTTTGAATACCTGGCCCCCCTGAGACCCAGGATAGCGCGCCAATGGGTCTGTGTGCAGAGTGAGAGGGCAAAGAAATGAGATTTTAGCCACAGAGGTCTATAAAATTTTGGGATAATGTGTTACGTTTTATCAAAGCACTTTTAGCCAATTCATTCAGCAAACATTTATGTGCAATAGCAGGGAGGTGCAGTGGGTTCAGAGATGAATAAAATATAGCAGGTGTTTTTCTAAAGCAGCTCACATTCTGGCAGGGGAGATAGAAACATAAATAATTGTAAGAGAGTGTGGTTAGGGCTATAATGGGACTGTGTACAAAGTCTTGGAGGAGCAGAGAGGAGAGAGCAGTCTTAAAGGCTTTTCACCGAAGGTATAAACTGAGTGGCGGTCTGGAAAAGGGGATAGGAAATTCTTTTTTGGACAAGACAGGGTGTGGAGGGAAGGGAAAACTTTCAAGTCAAGGAAAGAGTAAACGCAAAGTTGTAAAGGTACACAGGAGGCATAAAGGATTGAGGCTCGTTACACCGGAGTGGCCAGAGCACAGGTTATAGATTAGGGATGAGATGTTTCTTCGGTCCTCTGTAAATGGTCATTTGTCAAACTAGGACCTTTGAGATTAATTATAAAGGCATAGGGGGCTATCCAAGGCTCTTAGGCATGACCAGATAATCTTGTTTGAGAAAAATGATAGGGGTGGGGGCTAGGGAAATGTGGAGAATGAACTGGATGGAAAAGCAGACAGGAAACTCACGTTCCATTGAAAGCATGTAGCTGATAAGGTGTTACCTGGAGAAGGTCAGTGGGGTAGGACGAGAGGGCACCTGTGTGAGAAACATCACTGAGATGGAATTAACAATATTTGATGACTATTATGGGGGTGAGGAGAGGGGAGGCTCAGGGTTTTTAGACTGGGAAACCGAGTGGGTAGTTATTTCTAGTTGTGATGGAAAATATTGGAAGAGGGATCCTTCTTGGAGGGAAGAGGGAGAGGAGGACCTGGGATTGGGGCATGTTGTTTTTGAGGTGCCCATGGGTGTGACCTCCAGATGGAGAAGCCTCCAGTATCTGGAAGTAAATGTAGAGCTCTCACTATAGATTTGAGCATTTCCCTCTTCCTTGACTGCTCCTGCGACAGACGAGAGGAGACGAAGCCAGAGGATGGACATTTGGGATTCGCTAACTTAGGGCTGTTTTTACAGGCTCTTTAAAAAAAAAATTTTTTTATTGGTGGGTTTGATACCATTCTTTAAAAAAATTATTTTATGA